TAAACTTTTCTCTGAGAGATAACCGAGAACCTAGACGGTACACTGAACGAATCGCTCGTTTTTGCAATACAAATATGGTTTGAATATCTGCCGCTTTACCCCACATGAAATTCCCGTAGGATATTATACTATGGAAGTAACCAAAGTAAACTAGTCTAGCAGTATTAACATCGGTAAGCTCACGTATTCTGTGGACTGCGTATGCAGCGGAGCTTAATCTGCTGGCCAGAGACGATATATGTGGAAAAAAAAGCTTTAAATCGCGAAGATCTGAGGGGCACTGCCACTGCGCCCGTCGCCTGTGACATAAGTTGACAAGTCCCATGTGCCTGTAATTTCACCAGCAGCCTCACCCTTCAAAACCGGAACACAGTAATGCAGACATTACAGCTTGGCGGCAGAAATAGGTAAGGTGGCAGTACTACCCTGCAAGAACTGTTTCACAAGGAGCTCTACTGCTACTAAAATTAATTTTGTAACGTATAGCTTAATTTAACGACCTCGAGTGGCTTGTATATCAGTTTTTTTGGTGTCGACATCTTTGGTATCCCGGGTTCAATCCCCAGTCGGGTCAATGAAGAAAAACTAACTTTTCTTTATTGTCTTGGATCTGGATGTTTGTGGTACCATTATCTTTGCCAATTTCCATTACACAATTGCTTTAATTACTTACTTTTGGATTGGAGAAACGTATGTAATGTTGTCTAATTTAATCACCACATCATTTTTTAAAATCTGTGACTCTAGTGAAAGGGAGTAAGAGTCAAAAAACCCAACTTTACAAGGAGACGTGAAAAACAGTTAAAGCTAAATATAACTAAGCATTTTCACTAGAGCCTCAGATATTATATTATTTTATATTGTACATAGAAAAATCTAGTTTTGTAATAAATTAAATTTAATTAACACTTTGATTTAACAAACCGCCATTCCAGTACAGCATATAACCGATTTTAAGAACGGAAATGATAATTATAAACACAAACTAACGACGTAAGCCATCAATTTCCATACAATAGTGCCACATGGTACTCTTTTTTTTGTTACGAATAGCTGCGACAAACATATTTTTGTGAAAACATTTATTGACGTTTCATATCACCTGTGACCTTCGGCTGTATATATATTTGCTAATGATTGTGAATGACAAAAAGAAAGGATTTGCTATAATATCGAAGCCTTTACGAGTGAATAAATATATTTATGCCTATGTATTACTAGTTGTAGGCTATAGCCTACAACTACCTCCATAACCGAACGATCACCACGCTGGACTGCCACGGAGAGGTTCTGGATTCGATTCCCAGGCCGGGAGAAATATGTGTAATACATTTATTTCTCTCGTGAGTTTGGGTGTAATTTGTGGTTGTCTATGTGTGTGTCCATGGCACCCGCGATACAGGGTATTTTAATTATGTATAATAATTATTTTAATGTAATTTCCTGTAATACATTTCCTTAGTGCGGGGCTATGAGTGTATTGCGTTATTATGTTGCGTTATTATAATTAAGAGTACATCAAGCTTGACGCTTTGGACCGTTTTTATCGCAAGCATACTAGAGTTGAATTTAAAACTTAAGTGTCAAATTTGGCGTGTTGAGTCTGTATCAACTCAGAATCTTCGCTCACATTTCACCGCTCAGCTATGACTGGACTCGAATTATTCAAAAGTGGACTTTAACAGCAACTTGGCAATAGATTGAGGTCCTTGTGAAACCATCTGTGAGCAAGCAGGGCGAGAAAAGCAAATAGAAAGAAAATAAAATACCAAACGTATAATGTGTATAGTATAAACAGTGTGTGTATGTTTATACTATACACATGCACGCACGCATGCGCAGCACACATTTTGAAATACCTATTGTTTTTTTTTTGTAGATTTAACCATAGATATAGAAATTTCTTTCTATATCTACGTAGACGTTGTTTCTGTGAATATCTACAATTTCTTCTACTTCTACACTTTTAATGTGAGTTTGTAAACATATTTAAATTAATTAAAGATACCGTGTACGTAGCAACATTTTAAGACTTTCGTGATTTATCACTAAAAAATTCCTGAAACTCCGGGTATCTACAAAATAAAGTGCAATGTGGGAGCTTGTGCATCGGTCATTCATTTCTAACTCAAACTAAGGAATTGGGCGTACTATGAACATCAGAGTAATAACATTACTTTCAATGATATTTCATTGTAAATTACGTACATCAAGTTATAAACTATATCTGGAAATAGTTGTCCTACAAAATTGAACCCAAGCTGTTACAATTTCCATGGAAGTGCAGTTCCTGTACAAATATCCGGGCAAACACTGTCTGCCAAACAGTGAACCCTCCCCCGGTACCCCTCTGAAATCACGAAATGATCACTTTCTCGACTTGAAAATATACAAAAAGTATATATACCGACAAATTCAAAGTAATTTGTACTACGAAAAAATATTGATTTTTATCTTCGAAGAATCTGTCTCATTACCTAAAATAATATCGCAGACAATAAAGCAATAAATGCTTTGAACTTTTGACTTGTCTTTTGACATATGAGGAAAATATTTTTAGAAACTGTCTAGTTTTTCTAAGTATCTAAGACGGAGAAATATAATCCAAACTTTTTTGTGTGACATCAAAGACTAACCCATTAAATTATTTAGGACTTAATTGTACGAATTGTTGACGGATAAAATTAATAATATTTTACAAGAATTTAAATTAATTTAAGTACCAGTGATTACTAATATACACATTATTATAGTTATACCGATTATATAATTTAATGTGATCATGTGACGATGTTTGCATGCCTGTCTTATTTTCTGGCGAAACATTTTCATGCTTTTTTACACAAACGTAATTGTAATTTTGGTAAAATTCAATTATGTTAACACATTTGTAATTGACAGTAATTTTAAATTTATACACGTATATTGTAAAAAGACACAAAATTTGATTGACACGTCATAAATTTGAAATAAAATTAAAAAATCAATCCAATCCTTTACCACATTATAACACATTACAAGAAGTACAATTAGGTCAGCGTAGCACCAATTGAGCGGTTTGTTATCTAGGCCACCATGTTTGTAGCAAATAAATTATTAGATTTGATTTAGAAATATTCCTTTGATATAATCAATGAATCGATTCAAACAATATTTAAAATTATAATAGTCTAGATCCATTTGTTAACTTATTTCCATTGCGGGTTTAGTTTAATGTTCTATCACAGGGATTTCGAAATGGAATCAATCGACGATTAACAATATACATTTATTATATTTTTATTTTCAAGAATCTACTATTGCTTTTTTCGATATTATATTACTGTCTGGGCTGAATGTTATACTTAATACACAGTTAATCTTACTACTCTGGTACTCGTAATAGGATAAATACTTAGTTTGAGACCACGCAATTGATGTGGTTGTCTAGTGCATTGCAACTACTATTTCATTATGAGCATTTGAAGCTATAAGTATGTTATTAATAATATTATTATCAACTTACTATAGTCGTTCAAAGTTAAGCACAGCGATATGGAAAGGGAACATAGGGTTCTGTCAGTGAGGGCGAATATGATCGCACGCAGATAGGGAAGTGCAAATAAAAACGCTCTTCAGAGCGTAGTGTACCTCTCTATGTCCATACAGTCTGTGGCGAGAACAAAGAACAGGATTTATAACAATGTTGGTAGTTAATCAATCAAATTTCAATCAGAAATTAAATCAGATTAAAAAATCAATTCAATTGAAATCAATTGCAATTGATTTCAGTGTTAGGGGGTTGGTTAGGGGGTCGGTTGGGGGGTCGGTTAGATGGTCGGTTGGGGGGTCGGTTGGGGGTCGGTCGGGGTGTCGGTTGGGGGGTCGGTTAGGGGTTCGGTTGGAGAGTTAGGGGTGAGTTAGGGGGTGATTTCGGGGGTGAGTTAGGGGGTGGGTTAGGGGGTGGGTTAGGGGGTGGGTTAGGGGTGGATGAGTGGGTTTGAGTGAACCCCCTAACTCACCCCTAACCCCCACAACCCAAACCCTAACCCACCACCTAACTTACCCCCACATGCCCTATAAATTTATCATAATTGTCAGTTTTAATTGTCAATTGTTAATCAAAAACATTGAAAAGATTGAAAATTGATTAATTGTTAATTGTAGATATATGCGATATATTGCTGTTTCGCAATTGACAATTAATTAATCGTTAATCTTTAATTGCCAGAACAATTAAATTTTGCCCAACACTGGTTTACAAGACCATGCGAATTCAATATAATAACATGTTCCTGTGAAGCAGGAGGGATGTTTGCTAAAATGCATGTGGACGGTTTTGACGCCACTTTGCGTAAGAGGTGCGCGTTTCTGGTGTGCCGTGTGCAGGCCAGCCCCAACTCCGCTCTCCGCGTCATAGGGGATGAATGTCCATAAATTAGATTTTGATTTGGGCTACCCACATCCAAATGTATAATTCAATTTTAATTTTTATTAACAATAGAATAAATGCTCGTCTTGGAATATGCTAACACATATGAGTCTATTGATACTACAAATAAATGTATTAATATTATAATAGTAAATAGTCACAAATGCCAAGCCGCAAACACGCAATTACAACTTTAAAGGTAGAAAAAATTGCGTCAATGGCTTAATAGCTTAGCAAACAAAAATCGCGTAGTAAATATTAAAATTAACTTATTATTATGCATGTAGAGTTCAAGGTGAATTGTTAAATCAGTAGACACTTCATTAAATACAATTTTGCTTTTATTTAACTATCATTATGACCTGAGAAACTACGCATTTCACCCACAACATAATTAGAAGCAGTTTAATTTACATGTATAATGCAAAATATATTTTTTATGATACCAAGTGACAGGACGAATAAGTCGTCATAACAGTTATAGTGCCACTAGAAACTTTAAATCACAAAGATTTAAGAGGCACTGCCACTGCTCTGTCACCCTAAGACATAAGTTGACGAGTCCCATGTTTCTGACAGCTTCACCCTCAAACTACACTGTCTCTCATCGCTACGTAACTACTTAATTTAAGTACTTAACATCAGCCAGCCAATGAGGCCACATCTCTATAATCGCCTGTAAAGTAGCTCCTGGGCTTTCAGTGGCTCTCAGCTGCCGATGGCCTACCAGCTTGTAGTCTTCTTTCAAATGTTTCTCTTCCACGCTGCAGGAAAGTAGATCTTGCAGTGCTTGCAGCGCTGCAGGTGTTGGTTTAATGGCTGTTAAAAAATATTTTTGGATAATTGCAAAGAAAATATTTACCATTAGACATAGCCTTTTGTTATTTTTAGCAATAATCATTTGTTGACTATAGACAGATCTTGGGTTCTATCAATTTATCAATGAATTATTGAGACCTTGTTAGCCTAGATACTACGAATATGGTATCTAAAGATTTAATTTCTAAATACCGTGGTACTTATTAATAAGACACAACAAAATTAAATTAAACTATTTCAAGTACATTTTCAGAGTATTGTGATGTGAGCAATAATCCCAATAATCGATTCGTATATTAAAAAAATAAAATCAAAACACATTTTTAGCAGACATGAATGAATATGTACTATGGATAATAAAGCTGTTTTACGATTTGAAAAAAAAATCCATAGGTAGTATGTACATATTTTTAGGTTTCATGTATATACTGAACTTGCTTTTATAATAGTTTTAGTCAATTTACTTGGACATTAAACAGTCCCTAGCTGGTCACCGAGCTCGTCTCCCTGATGTATCTCTTCGGGAAGTCACCACACTTATCAATTGCATTAAGCCGGTCGTAAAAAGCTTTATCTCCATCTAATAAGAGCATCAAGACGTAGTTCGATTCGCATCGGTGTCTGCACACAACGACTACTTCGCTCTTATTGCATTTTTTATGATTTTGTGACGAAACGAACTGCACTCGTCACTCTGAGACATAAGTTGACAAGTCCCATGTGCGTGTAATTTTCTCAATGCTCTACCCTTCAAAACCGGAACGTTACCACTTGCTACAAATAAATAACATGACAGTACTTCCCTGGATGAACTCTTTCACAAGAAGCTCTACTGCTACTAAAAAGGACGTAAAATTTTTCTGGCTGGGTCAAGCCGATTCCACGTGTGGTGACTCCTTTAATTATTTGGTCACTAAACTTTCAGAATACGGCGAAATAGGAATATAGTTATACAGTTTCCTAAATTTAGTTTTCAACATCATGAGTCTCTATAGTATCTTTATTGGGCTAGACTTCATGACATCTTCCAATAGCGTAGGTACACCAATTGGGTCTCTAGAGAAATTAAAGTCAAGACTTGACGTAACCAAACCAAACCGCTTGCGTTTATTTCATTAATGCGATGCGTACTAAAAACAGGTCGGTAGCAATAATATAATTTTTAATAATTTAAGTTATCATTCATTATCTTTTCCCATGGCCAGTTTTCGCTGTTATCTATAGAAAAAGTTCTATTACCTCAATAAATTAAATTATAAGTTTTTCAACTTGTAGTTCGTAGTGCTTGTACTTTAAAGGGAAACTGGCACTACAATTCTAAATATTGGTTTCTAGATCATGTATACTGAACACCACTGAGTTTAATTAGTTAATATTCAAAGTAGGATCAAACGTTATTAATATGTAGCGAGCTTGTATGCCTGTTGTAATAATTTAATAACACTTCATGGCACAATACTCACTTCTGTAATCTCCTATGAAAGCAATACCCAAAGCCTTAGCATTGTGTCCCTTCGTATGAGCACCGACAAAATTCCATCCAGCACCTTCATATATTTTTCCATTACCACCAATTAAGAACCTTAAATGAACAACATATAAAAATATAATAAGGGCATAGTCGCTTTTAATCCTACTTTTTCCCAGTCATTATGGAACAATACGAAAAATGTCTTTATGTAAAAATATATTTGTAGTTAAGCGTTAAACTTGCATATATTTTTGAGTTACGCCTTTAGAGACAGTGAGTTATGTCCCGACTGCAATAAAAAAACGAGGTTAGGAGATCGCTAGAGACATGTCCTTTTCATATGGTATGTAATAGGACACGCTGAAGCCAATGATGTAATAAAAACAAAAGGGCATAACTCGTCTTATTCCGTTTTTCACTGGAGCCACTGATTCTATAACTATCTAAGCCTAAAAAAGTTGGATAACTTTTTTATGCTTAGATAGTTATAGAATTAGTGGATACTAATTGCGTTTGTAGAATCTTTAAACCACTCACCTAAAAAGTTGTCGTTTTGTAGATGTGGCGTTATTACACAAAGGGTGTGAAATTCAGTTCTCATAGTAAACTGTCTAGTATACCTAATTGTAAATGAATATAAAATAAAATACTCACGAATAGCCAATATCATCAAATCCGACATGTAAATGTGCTTTCCGTATCTCTCTAACCAGATGTTCGCACTGCATATCTTCAGTGCACGATGACGTCACAGAATGTAAAATGATGACCAGATCAACGGGTTGAGGGAGAAGCTTATGTCTATTTAGGGATTCTCCAGACCATTGGGACATTGGTATTATGTTACAGGTTGAATCTGAAATTAAGTACAAGTAACTGTAGACAAATCAAATTGTGACCTATTGAGCTTATATTACGACTACAGTTATAATGAAATCTACTCTTACTTACTTACTTTACGACGAACATACTTAGACAGGCTAATCGTTATTGCGGTTTCATACGGTTCTTTAATGTCCGTCGGTATATATGTATGACGCACTACTCATATCGTATGTATATTTTATCGTATTGGAGGTTAATACACGGTTATATTATCTATTGTGACTTTAATTGCTTTTTATTTACGTTCACCTAAGTTAATGCGCATTTTATTTCGTAACGTTTCCAATTAACCATACCACGCGTGCGTTCAACGCGTGCTCCGATCCTATTTCTATGATAATCACTATCTATCGCATGAGACGCTGTTAGTGTAGTGTGACAAAGAAATCAGATTTGAACAGCTGCCATGTCTCTCTTCTTCCGCGTTACAATGGTCATGTTCTTCGACATACAAATTATTTCACTTCATGTTTTTTTTTTAATATCAAAAACAGAGATGAGACTGGTTTAGATCCGTGAATGTCTCAGGTTGAAATTTAGTCATAGTATAGAGTAAGATATGTTGAGTTGACGTAAACAACAATTTCTATAATAAGTGAAGAGTGTACAATATAGGCTTGAAGGCTTATCTTATCGATTTGTGAACTGCCATTATGCGCATTACGCGTACAATAGGTCTTTCACAAGTAAATCGTTTGTTTACAAGTAAAA